GGCAATAAACGATTTCAGCGAGTCGGTGTCACCCTGCCTAGCTCCTGCCTTTACGTCGACAGTACCATCGCAGCAGAATGTTGATATTTCAGGTGTAAAATTTTATATAAAAAAAATACTTAGTAAGTAAGCCTTGTTTATCCAGGGCTTCTGGCTTGACTAGTCTAAAAACCCTTAGGTTGAAATATAAATTCTCAGAATGTTGGATCTAAAGTCAGCGGCTTTCATTACCTCACCAAATGCTAATAGCAATGTCTCGGAACAGAAAACGCGTTAGACAACGCCGCGCCAAGTTTCGATCACTTTCATTGTGAGTCAAACGCAACGAACCTTGAAAGAGCTCATATTTGAACTATTGATCTCCGTGATAGAAAATTGTTCACGTTATCTTTAGCGGAATATCTGTAACACAAACTTGTATAAACTCCAGCTTAGTAATGTTGTCATGGTAATCTTGCAAGACCAGCACAAACAACAAATAGTTTTCCATGTTACTGCTGCAATTGATAACGGTACAGTCGAACACAACAGAGCACAGTTCTTCGCAATTTAATCTCAGTCAACACTATTAATTACGAACAATTTACATCTTGACAATATAAAAAGTGAAACTTACAGAAGCGAATCAAGCTAGAACAGTAAAAATTCACGCCCGTTTTCTGGATGCAGAGCTCACAAGACGCAAAGGAAAAAACACATGTAAATGAAATTACACTGTAGCAGATGATATAAAAAACCAGGAATATTCGTGTCTTATACGAAGCTGAAAACAACCAGTAAAGGCAATTGAATTGCAACCAGGAATTGTAAACGAGTTGATATGAAAACTAGTTGTACTACAATAATAGATGACTACTTTCAAAAAATATTTTAAATATTTTCATGAAAAAATTCACAAACAACAAAGTTTTCTGCTTAATTGATGGTACAGCAATAATCATTACACATCGAAGTTTTCGCAGCAGATACTCTTATAGACAGAAGAAGCATGTGTGAATAACTTTCAATACACGTATAGAGGAGATATGATGGAAACTTCAAACACAGAGTTGGTATTTCACAGTTCTTCGCTGACAATCTCATGTATTGAGAACTCAAACTATTCGTCTTCTAACGATAGCATTGACAGCCTGTCAATAGAACTGCTAACCACTGTGACTGCATCACGCTCGTGGCTTACTACCTCTTCTGGTATGGATTATAACGGAATGCTTACCATACTTCGCGGAGCTGATAAGCAACGTACAGCTACCGTTGAAAATGCTGAACTCATCTCTCGCAATCGGTCACTCGTTCTCGATCGACATCCCGAGAAGACAGGGTGATCGTAATGTGATGGCTGCAAAGTACACGTTGCACAACACCTTTAGCTTAATTCTATCTCTCCTGTGAAAAACCGTTTGCGCGAAGTACAACAATTAAAAGTGGTTCTGTTTGAAGTTAGTTTACTTTCACGGATTCATTTCCGATTGGTTGCATGAATTTTTGAACCCATACCTTGCGCTCGAGAAAAAACTCTCATAAAGAGTGCTAATAATCATTCAAAAGCTCAAATCTCAAACTGCACGCAGAAGTGCCCAGTTTTTCGAAAATGTCCTTTCTATAACGCTGGAAAGTTGGAAACAATATCATGTTTCACACACGCATATTCATCGCCTGTCAACGTTCTATCTCTAGACTATCAGCAATCGTTCGATAGCGTAAAATTTACTGATTTGAACTCTGTGAATATTCTAAAGAGAGCGTTTCTCTGCAAGGTAGCAAGGATGATAATAATAATTCACATGCTCGAGTAAGTGGTCATTCGCCAATTCACGGGCCGCTGGGTGGGGCAGGAATGTGGTCTGACGAGAGGATCGGTCGATTTCCAAACATGTGAACATGTAGAGAAGATCTCACAGTATTTCAATGTCTTCGAGACACTGCTGGAAGCAATTAGAACGTTTTGCGCCTTCCAATTCCATGAAGTAATCATACTGATGAATGCTTTGTCCGTCTTCATAGCAAAATTGAAGTTTTTGAAATCTTTTTGTAGCACAGTCATATACTTCATCTAGAGTTTTTCCTTCAAAACGAAGAAACAATTTCTAACTGAACAACAAAGATCGCATCAGCATAAGACCTGCCGAAAATCTATAGATAGTCGAGCAACAGCTATTGCCGCCTCATCCAGCGGCGCGTGAATTCGCCAAAGACCACTTGCTCGCGCATGCGAATTCAATCTCATTTCCCCTGCTGCATTGAACAGAAATGGTCTTTTCAGAAAAAAGTAAAGCCTTGGAATTACTGAAACTTACGCTATCGATTGATTACTAACAGTTCCTACAGTCTACAAGAATTCTGTTCGCTGAGAAATATGCGCATGTAAATAATTTGTTTTCGAATTATTCAGTGTTATAAAAGGGTATACTCAGAAAACCGGCCATGTATGCGGACAGTTGGAGATTTGAGCTTTGAATGATTACTAGCACTCTTTATAAGAACCTTGGTTGAGCTCAGGAGAGTGGCTTTGAAATCTGCGCTACCAAACGGAATAGGCCACCTTATCAGGATCGTTCTCTTCCAATTGATTTGACTAGCAGATTTCGTTCTACTAAAATGAGAGTAATGAAGTCGGTTGCCGAGAAACAATAGCTAGATTGGTTACTAACAATTTGCAGGACTTACAGATACCTTATCATATTGTCGTTTCCAAATTTTTGCTGCACATTACTATGGCAGTCAAGTACTTGCATCACACTATTCATTTCTGGTACTCAGTTCTATAATGTCACGCTTTTTTCAAATAACTCTCTCAAAGCGTAATTTGCACTGCTTTTCCTCACGATCCAACTTTCACGGCCTTCACAAAATTTTTTTAAAGTATAATGGAGACAAAAAGTACGATGAAGCATAGTGCATAGGCGCACATAAGCGCTCGACAGTGGCATTGGATAAGTGAAGAGCGTCATCCAGTCGAACACTTAACTGACGATGAAAGTCTTCAATACCTTTTGAAGCTGGATTTTCACAAAAAGATCATTGAAAGTTTCTGGTGTTCTGCTACCAGGATATTTCACCATATAAACATCTGCATCCCAGCAAAAATATGTGCTCGAATCAAGTAGTAACATTCTATATTAACATATCAAAATTAGACACCATTTCTAATCCGAATCTTTATCCGCCGCCCATGATGGTCTATAAATTTGTAAACTATCTTGAAATAGTAACATTAGCTTACCTGAGTAAGTGGCCGGTAACGACGTCGCCAGTTACGTACAACATCAACATCAGCAATTGAAGAGAACGATGGTGCCTGAGAAAGATAAAGCGACGGTACAACACAAACTTCATAATGGACACGATAAAAGCAAAGTTTTGAGCCAAAGGGTAGCATGGACATAAAAGCGATATCTACGAATGAAAAGGCTACTATTGGGAATACCTCTGTAGAATGACTATCGAATTGCTTGATTTTGAAGCTGCACGAAAAGCAAAAAGAATCGCCCACGCTGGAATAAAAAATGAGACAATGTCGTATGGGAATTTCAACAGCAAATATTCTAGTTGATTGGATTCTAAATAGACTATTCTGAAGTCTAAGTCTGTCAATTCATCACCACGAAATCAAAAGAGAAAGAAAAGTCGACTGTGAGAAACCTCGAAATTATATTACAAAGGTGAGTAACGAATTGAAAGAGATCACTTACAAAAACACCGCTACATCCTCTTACATCATTGGCCCTAAAAAACATGCCTATATGATATCCAAGATCGGCCAGTGCTGACGTTTCTAATGTCCAAAAAGGCTGAAGTGTAAATGTCAAGCAGATATTATTCTGACAGACGAACGATAAGAAAGGATAATGAAAGTGAAAAACAGTGAAAAAATCAAAAAACCACAAATCAGCTGCTTAATAATCGAGGAAAATTCCACTGACTAGAAGTGCAGTGGTTGACAGATAAGCGGTCTTGAGAAATGAGACAATCTCTTAGCACATGGAGTTTATTCGGTACAACAAAATAAGAAACTTTGTTTGAAATTCAGAGATAAGAAGACCTCGTGAAATGGTCACCACTGACCGAATTTATAAGAATACGAGTTTGATAGAAAGTTAGCAACCAAAGAGCCATAAAAAACCTAATAAGATATAGGTTCGAAGATGATTCGAGGGGAGTGTAGAACTGGATCCACCAAGGATTTATGATTATGACTCTATCACTGATCATTACTGGATATGTACTATAATATGTTGAGTTGAGGCTGCAAGGTTGATGCACGTTATCACGAGGAAATGTGCAAGTTGACCACTGTCCAACACTCTTCTGCAACCACTCCGAAAATAGCTTAGCCTGACTACTCTAAAGGCTGCAAGGGATTCTGCCCAGCAAGTATTTCAAAACAACCACGAGGAAGATGGAACCCTGTCGAGACAACAGCCAGAACTTTTGGGGACCCTTGGGACAATGGCTGTGAAATGCAGAATCGAATGCTGGAAGTGCTGGGATCTGCAAAAAAAAATGTGATAATGGGCCGTATGAAGTAACATAAACTGTAAAAATATTGCAAATATTCGTAGTCGTACGTTTGAGATCAACTAGACACAATGATGGAGAAGAACGTCATTTTTACCTTCACAGAAGTTATCCAGGTTTTCCGTATAATAACTATCGACGTTAGTGGAGAGCTGTGTGTAATCAATTTCTTGAGCCTAAGTCTAAGCTTAGATTCAAGCTTATACGTGCTGCCCTAATTTCATATAAAAGATTTGAATTTGAAAAAGGTTTCAAAACTTGATAGGACCATAACTCTTCACCTAAGCCCAACTATCACAAGTTAAAAAAGAAGATTATCCTCCTACACTGAAATTTATATGTGCAGAATGACTCTTTCATGAGAACAGTATCATTGCCTAACTTACTCTCGTACACAAGATCCTTTATGCTTTAACTGGTCTTTTCGCAATCTTCTAATGTGCCAGGCATGTCTAGGAGAATTTAGAGGTGAGCAAAAACTCGACCTAAGACGGGAATTGAACCCGCGCTTAATCCATAACGGCGACTCGTGTTACCACTACAGCACCGAGGCAACCACTTACTCACTTAGCAGCCACCAATCGTTAACAGGTTCGGTCGGCTGAGCACATATCGCTCATTAGAGCCAACTAAGGTGACAGCCATTCTGCACGTATATATATATATTATGCATATACTATACGATATATATAAATATTCAAGAATCCTTGTTTTAATTGCTCTTTTCGCAGTGTTATATTTCACTCGGTATGCATGTCCTCGCAATTTCTTATTCAAAGAAATCACTTGAAAAGCACTATAGAAATTGATCGGACCACAATTTTCCACACGGGCCAAGACGTCTCAGTGACGTCTCTGCTGCTCCAAAAACTTTACGAGATCAGAATTTCATCAAAAGAACAAAAATATCTGATTGAAGCAAAGCATAAGAATCGATCCAAACATCATCACATTAAGAAGCGCATTGCGTCATAAGTGGATACAAACAATGTGACCATCATATCTAAAAAATTTTTCCGCTTCAGCACTATCAATGATAAAGTGGTTACTGATGTCGTGTGCTACATGCGTGATCAATAGCTAGATCGCATCCGAGGCCCACCAAACTTTTCATGACACCGGAGTCGGTAAATTGATACCAAGCTGGACTGAGAGGACAACAGCATCGACTTGATAATTCGGCAGAGCATCGCAAGTCGTTCCAAAGGATAAAAAGGAAACTATTCACCTCAAACGATGTTACGGATATAATCGAATGTATAGAGCATTATTCAAGGTTAACCAACGCCGATAGTTCAATCCTTTTTTTACAGGTGATGAAGCAAGTTATACTAACTTTCCGATTGTCTTTTTTTCTAAACATGCCACTAGTACTAGCACGAGAAGAAGAAGAGCAAGTGGATAAGGGGGGCGGTGTCACAATCGCGAGATAAAGTTTTTTGGCAACATAATTATCGGCAGAGTTGTCAATACGAGAATAACAAAGAATCTCAGCAGTTAGCCAATTCCACCACATTTCAATCAAACGCTGCGTGTCTATGCAGACGTGATTCAACGAAGCTGATCCCTCAAGTAGATGGGAAATCTAACAAAACATCAGTAGCAATGCTTGCAACTGAATGAAGGCTATTGGCCTAGCAAGAAATTTTGTGGACTTTTCGCTCCTGTTGATTAATCTTCACGCATTTAAGTTTGTGTCTTCACTATCGTTTAAAGTGGATTCTCGCGGTTATTTTGGTATATAATTTTTCTAGATTTGTTATAAGATGGAACTGCGGCGAGAGCAAAAACGCTTGTTAATTTTACATGAATATCGTTGCGTGCCAAAGCAACACTTGAGCCCAAGGGATACTCGAGTAGCATCAACAAGCGTTTTTGCTCTCAAAGCAAATGTACAAGTGTTACAAATAGAAATAACCTCAAGAAGCTGCTCTAAACGGTATTATAAAGGAAAACTTAAATGCATGGAAAATATCCAACAAAAACGAAGAAGTCGGGAAAATTTCTTGCCATTCCAATAGCTGTAGGGGAAGGACGATTTCACGAAGAAAAATAAGCATGAACGATTGACAGTGATGTTCAAAATTTGAGTATAGGTATTTGGGAAAGTGAAGCAAATGTATTGAAAGAAAAATTTTTTTGTTTGAAAAAAAAAACATTTTTTTCGCGCAAAGATAAATTTGACGAACCTAAAAAGGTTACGACGTTGATTGGATCGAATACTCTCAGCTGCAGATATTCTATCCAAACGCCAAGAATCAGGAAAAATGAGCCAACAATTAAATGAACCATTACAAATTCTTCAGAAGAAAACCGTACCCAATAAGGAGCTAAAATGTCACATTAGATAGAACGAGTAAGCCTTATCTCTGCTCGCTCGAAGAAAACTGTCTGGTAACAAGTACGAAGAATCGTAAAGGCAAACATATGACTCTGAAGAGCTTGTGTACTTACATGTCTGACGGCGACAAATTTTTACGCCGATCTCAATCGCTGGACAGGAGCTTCTCACAGTAGTTCCTGAAACCATTTGGAAACTTAAATCTCTAGCTACGTCTCCACGTCGTAAGTTTCTTAAAATGCCTTTTAAAAAGAGCATAACAATGTAGCATTGAGCATAAAGTTTTGTTTCCTAATCGCCGTTCTCCTTCACTTTTATCACGCGTATAAATCGCTAGAAGCACGAAAAGCCTACAAGTTTGTAGAGAATTTTCCGTAGTATCAGCACCATGCATTTTTGATCATTCTTCAGGCAAAAAATTACTTAATAAAGTAACAGAGTTGACGCCCTTTCAAAGCATAATACGGTAGATCACCACAGCACCAGGCGCTAGATCAGGCATTCACATTACTAACAAGTCGCTGTGGCTTCCCTTCACATTTTCCTCGGCTATAAACCTTTTTACTTTGGCACAGGTTAAAGAAGAAGCAACCTGACAAATTGATGCGGCGCCAGATGACCACAGATAACAATTTTTCGAATTTCAGCCCCTTACTCTGAATGTAATCTTTATTTATAACTAGGTGATGATGCTATGAAATCGGTATTGAAAGCAATTGGGACATTTTGGCCTCCTGAATGCCGTCAAAGTGATGAAAAGTTCTTGATTTATTTATTCTTATCAATAGTACAATAGCAAATAAACTCGAATTTTACATTTTCGGCGACCTTGTCTACCGCCTAATTCACGGTGCAGGGGTGGAGCAAGGACGGGGCAATCGATCGCGTTTGAAATATTGTTATTCAATTAGAGATTTTTGCACCGCATTGATAGAAATTCAAATAACAGCGCAGATTTTAATGCTTGAAAATCCCACTGCACGTTGATGTGTTTTTCGCGCTTCCAGCGATTTATACGCACTGTAAAAATGAAGTCGAAAGGCTAGTGTCCAACAAAATTTTATTCTGGGTGCTACAGCGTTATAGAATGGGTTTCAAAAAACCGGCGATATGGAGTTGTAGCAAGAGCTCAAGGTTTCGAATAATCACTAACATTCCTATGAAAGTTTCTGTCCAGCGAATTAGGTCGGCTTAAAAATTGTCGCCGTTTGATAAATATTACAGTGTTTGCACGAATAATATGCATATTGATTAGTGCGTCACATAGAAGTTACTTCAACTCACACAATACCGTGGACCAACGGCGTCTGCGTCTCTGACATTCAACATGCTGCTTTAGATGCCATTGTTAGACGCAGCACGGCACGGTGAAGGATAGAGATACAAAAGCCGCGGGTCCGCCGTTCTGTTAGAGTTAATGCTAGTAAATAATGATGTTACCGTGACAATCCTTTGAAGGATTGGTTAACAGCAATAATCCAGCGATTAGGAACATCGTGGAGTATCCGAACATGAAAAAAAAACGATGAAACACGTAGTCTGAAAGATTTTCCTCAAAAAATTACTGGTGATAGCAGTATCATTCGTTATGTCAATCTATTTGCAACCATTTGAGAACAAGGTCTTCTACTGATTTTTCTCAACCTTTAAATATTTCTTCGATAACTCAAATCTCAGCGACTTCGGTGCTGCGCTTGCTTCCTGGAAAGGCTTTTTGAGGCCGCTGTAACAGCGAAAATAAAACTGACTTTCAAACTTCGCGCGTGCTCTCGTTGTTTATTCGAAACTTTTTTCTCTAGTTCGGAGACATTTTCAGGCTTTGCCTGTTAGAATTATAGAAAGACTTTGTTCGATAGCTACATAGGCCTGAGCTCTTATGTTCATTTCACGTTGACAAATGAATTCACTATGAAGTTTAAGTCTAAAAATGCGAAAAGTAATCTTTTTTCTTGGTTCTCCAGCAATCTATGAAGATCATTTCGAAAAAACCAAACCTTCTACGGAATTACTTAGAGTAATGTTATCAAATAATTATCAAAAGTCTGTAAATAAACCATCCACAAATCCTAACCACCTCAGTGACTTATGTTACGCATGCTCCAAATTCACATTAACATGGGTATTCACACATACTAGCTCAGCAAAATCTGTGCGCCCGGTATGAAACTCATTTTTATTTCACCTGTTGCAATGTATTGAAAAGACCTTATAAGGAATTGAGTACGGTTACGAAATCGACGAGATTCAGGCTATCGATCAATCACTAAAAGTTTGAGGAAAGAGCGAAAAAGGCCTTGTCGCAAAAGGTTGAAAAGTGAATTGCGATCACTGAATTGAACTCATAAAATTCTACGGGCAATTTAGCTTAGAAAATGTTGCTCTGGACGAACATGGCATACCTTTTTTACAGCAACAGAGCTCCAATAAATCATTCTTGAGGCGACATTTGAATACAGATAGCATACTATAATGAGTTCGATCGCTTTAGCTTAGCTGATGAAGAGCGCTACCTGTGTTTTCCATCCAAATAGCCAATCCGATGAACTGAAGACAAACATCGTCAGAATCTCACTCTCTTTCGGAGATTATTTATCGAGGTGGCAAGAAAGTTTCGGGACTTTTTCGTGTTTTTCAGTTATTTTCGTGCATTCGAGTTTCTTTTTTACATCGTTTAGATCAGATTCTTGCGGTTACTTTAATATATAACACTTATACATTTGCTCTAAGATGAAACTATACTGAAGGTAAAACGATTTTTGCCGCTACACAAGTATCTCTGCGTTTCAAGTGCGGCTTTGGCAAGCAACAATACTCGAATAGCGTCAACGAATGTTTTTGCTTTCGAGACAATTCCGTCTTAAAACAAATGTATAAGTGTTGTATATCAAAATAACTGCTAGAAGCTGCTCTAAACGACGGTGAAAACCAAAATTCAAACGCATGATAAATAATCAAAATAAACCGAAACTATTTTGCTACCATAATATAAAGACCTAGTCGAAGTCAACATTATATGAGCTGACAAATGAGATAAACTCCCGAGAAAGGAATCTCATTAATTGATGTGGGTCGGACAACTAATCCTACTCTGATTATGGATGAACTTACTACCAAGTGACCTGATGGAAAAAAATTTCTAGAGAAACTCCAGATTAACCCTTGATAATCTGAATAGAGTGAGCTTAGAACTGCCTATTTAGCTGGCAGAGCTT